GCTAGAAAAACTCGCACTTTGGGGGACAAAACAACAGACCCTACACCCTCGTCACACGCACCACACTCACGACTCTGAGAACGACACACGATACACTGATGACGAAGGATAGGTTAGGTTGCTTTAGTCGTGACGGCCAGCAAGGCAATGATATAGATGTACTTTTTGTATTTTGTGATCATGTGAATTTCTATGGTGAAAGTCGAATTAGTGATTATCGCTCGCGAATTGTTCATAATGAATATTTTGTTTTTCAAGAATATGCTGGTGCATGAAAAACCTCTGAGCGGACTTATTGTACCTTGAAAATGAGTGTCATGTTTACATTCGAAACGCGTCGGTAAAAATATACCTAATGACATCTACCTATGAGCCTTGGATCTATTTTGCCTTCTCTTTCTAATGATCTTAAAAAAAAAAACAGTAAATAAGCTTATAAAGACACACAAGAAACTTGTTAAATGTGAAAACGCTATTTCATTTAACGGTCTTTGTTTGAAAGAAGACTTACTGCCTAATTTTACGAATATATATATATATATATATATATATATATATATATATATATATATATATATATATATATATATATATATATATATATATATATATTTACACTGTTTGTTGAACGTTATCGCAGCTTTGGCCTCAGTTGACCTCAGGTCACGTGACCTCGAGGTCATCATGTATATCATTCGATGTGCCTTGACGAGCTGAACACAATGAGACCATCCGCGCGACTGTATCTTGTTCCTGTACGGAGTTATTGGCAAAAAAACTTTGGTGACTTTTGATGACGTCACATGACCTTACAGCTGCCCAACAGCAAAACAGACCTCAAGGTAGCTTGGTCCCGTAGCTCAGTTGGTAGAGCGTTGGACTCCGCGTGGTGAGAGCACGCGTTCCCGGTTACAACAGTCCGGGTTCGAAGCGCGACGGGCGCTTGACATTTATGGGCCTCCTGACAGGTATGGTTGCGGTTGGTGGCAGGCCGTAGCCAGGTGAAGTCAGTGAGGGGACCGGCCGTGCGCGGCTATGTGCGCACGTTAAACTTTGGACTCTAAATTCTGCCATAGAACTGGAATTGCGCGATCGGAGGGTAGAGGGCAGGGTCACCGCAACAAGCTTTGCTTAGCGGTGGCTCTGTCCTTGTGAATCCTTCCCATCAAAAGGTTCGGACTAAATTTATAAAAAAAAGTTAGTGAAGGTTGATCGTATATGAAGTCATGCATGGTTTATGGGGCCATTCCGACCCGTTTTAGTGGTAAAAACGGGGAGTTGATTTTTTTCCCATTGACTTATGATGGGGAGGTCGAGAAATTGACCTGACCTTAGGTCATCGATATTAAAATTCCGAGATATACAAATTGTAGCTACTAATGACCTTATAACATCCTGGGACTTTCAAATTCCAAGGCCTCCGACATCTACTGTAGCTCTGGCACGGTGACAAAGTTGCAAAAAAGTGACTTGAGGTTGAGTCATTCAAAGTGACCTGGTGACCTGACCTTAAAGGCCGCCGTCCACTGTGCGGAACGCGTGCGGTCCGTACGGAATTTAACACAGAATCCTATGGGCGCATCCGGTCCGTACGGAAATCGTGTGCGCTCCGTCCGGACCGCATCCGAACGGCAATCAGCTGTTGATTTTCCGTCAGCTCTCCGCATGCGTTTCGGATGCGGTTGCTACGGAGACGGAAGAGTGATGTCCGACGCGTTGAACTTTTCTGCGGAAAACGCATCCGGAACGTCCGGAACAGACGTGGTTTGGGGCCGTATCGGAGTCAAACATTGTGAATTGTACGAAGAATTGGAACTCGATCATCATGAAGTAAGTAAAAATTATTTCCTTAGAATGGCAAGAGTATTCGCTGCTGGTTACTTGCAATATTTTATTTGGTAATAAGTGATAGGAAACATTTATTAGCTCTCCGCATCCGGACCGCATCCGGACCGCATCCGGACCGGATGCGGCCAGCGTGCGGCGACATTCCGGACGGACTCCGGACGGAATTCCGTCGCAGTGGACGGCGGCCTTAAAAGTTAGGAGGTTCAAACTTGCACACCATGTGTAAAATTGATGAGAGAATGCTAGTAGAACCACCAACCACTAGTACCAAGCTACGCGCCGCCGTTTTCCCGCTATCTACGAAAAACCTCAGGGGGCGGATATCCGCCTGCCCCCGTCGGTGCGCGGGTTAATGAATGGTATACCTACCTACTCAAATATTTTCGTGACCCCAGTGACATTTTTATTGAGTTTTTGAAATTTGAATGAACTTCACTCGGTAACTTTCTCTCCGGCTCGACCGGCGGACATATGGTATGGAAATATGGTATATGGCTCCAAATATGGTATATGAACCAATAATGGTATGTCATCACAATGACATACCATTACCATACGGAGGGCAATGGTATGTATGCCGCCACCGGAAAGGGGCGGCATACATACCATTTTGAGGGCGGTGGTATGTATGTCGGCATACATACCACCGACACTGTAAGGGGCGGCACCATCACTTTGAGGGGCGTCTCGGATGGTTTGAGAAGCGGCACCATTATGTATAAGAAGGGACGCTACAGAAAATTAGAGGGCGGCAACATTGTATTGATGAGTTCCTCCAAAAGTTTGAAGGGCGCCACTGACACTGTAAGGGCGGCACCAGCACTTTTAGGAGCGGCAACATCATTTTGAAGGCCGCCACCGACTCGTTGACAGGAGACACCATCACATTTAGGGGCGTCACTGGCACTTTTTTGAGGGAGGCACCATCACATTGAGGGGCGCCACGGATACTGAAAGGGGCGGCATCATCTTCTTGAGGGGCGGCATCATCTGCTTGAGGGGCAGCTCCATCACAATGACGGGCTATGTGAAACCTAGAAGGGCGGCACCATTATATTGGTGGGTTCCTCTGACACCTCGAAGAGCGTCACTGACACTATAAGGGGCGGCACTGACACTTTAAGGGGCGGCAGCATCATTTTGAGGGGCGCCACCGACTCGTTGGCGGGCAGCACCATCACATTCAGGGGCGGCATCATCTTCTTGAGGAGCGGCATCATCTGCTTGAGGGGCGGCTCCATCACAATGAGGGGCTATGTGGATACCTAGAGGGGCGGTACCATTATATTGATGGGTTCCTCCGACACTTCGAAGTGCATGGCTGACACTATAAGGGGCGGCGCCAACACTTTAAGGGGCGGCAGCATCATTTTGAGGGGCACCACCATAGTTGGCGGGCAGCAACATCACATTCAGGGGCGCCACCGGCACTTTGAGGGCGGCACCATCACATTGAGGGGCGCCACCGATACTGAAAGGGGCGGCATCATCTTCTTGAGGGGCGGTATCATCACATTGAGGGGCTCCACAGATGCTTAGAAGGGCGGCACCATTACATTGAGTGGGGCTACTAACAGATTTAGGGGCGGCACTGTCACATTGAGTTGCGGGATCATCACTTTCTATAGACGGCTGCTTCACTTTAATAGGCGGCATTATCATTTCGGAGGGCAGCAGCCTCACTATGAATGACGGCACCTAGCCTGCATGTGCGTGCTGCATCCTAGAGGGGGCGGCAACTGGGTCGGCAAACGGCTGTCACTGGGTCGGCATTCCCCGTGACTGGGTCGGCAATAGCCGACCCAGTTAACATGTTAAAATACGCCCTGTTTTTTTACATCTGAAGTGGGGAAGCTCCATGCCTGAACATGGCGCGACATTTGGCTTCCAACAGATTTGGTTTCCAAAACAAACCCGTTCATGGCCATTTGGTTCACGGCATCCAGTTTTTGTAATGCTAGAATATTACCGCAGTAGTACTCTACGCTAACGGTTGTCTTTGGGCCATCATATCAAGCCGAATGAGTGCACCGTGACTCAAAATGTCTCATAATTTGATTTTCGACGGGTGCCTGGCCGTCTCCGCTGTTGGTGCGTTGTAGCCATCTGACGTTCACACACGCCTTTTTCGGGCGGTTCAAATGACAGAATGCCTTCGTTAGACCACAATGTGCTTCAATATACTTTTGTGTTGTACCTATATGTTATGTTTTTGGGATGAATTGTAGCGATTTGCGCTGCTTTTCCCGTATTTTTCGCATACTCGTATTTTTCAGGCGGAGGACCCCAAATTCCAAAATTTTGTCAAGGATAGTGGTGCAAAGTAGGCTGATGTTTTGTAGATAATCTTGATCTATCGTTTAGCTAGTTTTTAGCTAGCTCGGTGACGTTTGTTGTCCATGACAAGCAACCACTCGCTTGACAACTGGTGTATGACCCTTTTTGGCCGAGCTCAAGCTTGTCAATTAGGTTTATCTCTTGCTCTCTCTGGCTTCGTTAGCTGATATAATTGCGCTGTGTTCAATCCTAATTCCTAACTGCTTGCAGATGAGCTGCTGAAGCTCTCCAGCAAAAACCATGCCGAAAGTCCCTTTACAAAGTTGAGAACGGGAGTGGATTTACCATGGTTGCCTATTAGTGGCTTAAGCTGAAAACGGAAAGGGCTACTCTTACTTGACTGGATAATAATTGACTCGAGTCGTGACCGTTCACCAAAAGCACACAGTCCCTAAGCTCGATAGCTAAGGGATATCTGATAAAAGTATGATGCTTGTATATCATTAGAATCGAGCGCACTCGTTCTTTTAGCCAGAAAATAAATGTTCGGGTAATTCTGGGACACCCTGTACCTGACCTGAGCCCGGCGCGATATGGGACAGGCATACGGGGGTTCGGCTCAGCGGAGGCAATGCCCACTGGTGGTGGGGACTTTTGTAATAGACCTACTGTACCCTACTCCTACATTACCCCTACTCTTCCCCTGCCCCTGCCCTTACCCCTACAACTACCCCACCCTACCCTATAAATACCCGGTATTTAGTGGTACTGACTGAAGTGTCCAAAGCTCAGAGTATGCTACTTTTACTTGCTACATTAACTACTTTTACATCGCACGTTGGTTGGTAACGAGGTGTGTCTGGCGCCTCCGGCAGAGCTGCGGCGGATGACGGCTGAACCGGCTTCCGGAGGTGAAAAAATTCATCTACGAAGACATTCCCATGTTCCATAACGTTATCTTCAAGGCAGTGCCCGGCGCGGCGCCCGAGGCCGTTCTGCTGAACAAACTCGACCAGGTACGATGCGTCCCGAGACCCGCACACTGGACACGTGCGTCCCGAGACCCGCACACTGGACACGTGCGTCCCGAGACCCGCACACTGGACACGCTCTTTTACCAAGAATGAATGGAAAGCTCTTAGCCTTACACAGTCACGGGTGTATGTACATGTGTAAGCTTTTCATGCTTCGCGGTTCACGTTCCTGATCCTGACCGAATGTGACCCCAAGTTATTCAAGGGCGTCTTAGTCATCTTTGCTCTCATTCATGTTCGTCCGTTCATTTTATATTGTACGTTGCTGCAATAACAAAAACACATCCCATCACTCTGTCTTAAGCTCGACCTTCAGCTCTCCCCCCCCCCGACTCCCTACTCTGAGTCGTTGCCAAGCAACCGTTGGCATGACAACCAATCTGGGCACTCCGATTGGCTAAGGTTTCCCGCCATACCGGGATCACGGATTGTGAAGGATGCTCAGTTGCAATTGCATGCAACTGGCCTCGGGGCACCTCTCCCGAGGTGGATCCACAATCCACCTACATCCCCCCATCGTCAAATCAAGACCTGGGCTCGCGCTTGAAGAGACGAGCATGCCTCGCAAGGGCCACATACGCACACAAGCACGATTAATTTAACATGTAACACACTGCTCGTTAGTGCACAGCTCGCGAACGAAAGCGATCCATTGTGCAGAGCATATTGCACATCTCTGGCGTACGAGCGGCGGACGCGATACATTATTAACATACGCGACAGAAAATACACAAGTGGCAATACACAAGCAGTTCATAGCACATGATCACACCCCTCGAACGCCCTTTTGATTGGCTCGCTACCGATATGGGATCCCTCTTAATCGGCATTGGCTGCGCATGACTCCAACCAGTCGGGGTGCTTACGAGTTAACAGGAATCATGATTTATTGCCGTTGTGACTCCGTGCCAGCTTAGTGGCGCTCGCACAAGAAAACTATGTACATAATACACATATGTGTCAAACGACTCGGCTACAATCTCACATTGGGTTGAAGCGGTCTGGAGGATGTCGGTGGCGCGTCGATCTCCGGGGTGTCGGCACGGGCAACGGCGACCTTTTAACCTGTTGGGCTTCAATTATCTGCGAACCAACTGACGTACTCGGGTCCCACTCAGATCCTGAGCACCGGTCATCAGTCTCTGCCGCCGTCTGATCCTCGGACTCGACCTCGTTCCCCGAGTCACTTACCGTGGCCCGACTCGTCCCAGGTGCACCCGCAGTGCTGCCGGTACACGGTCCGCCAGCGGGGTCGCTGGGCTCTGGATGGGTAGCGCTCAACATCTGCTTGTCAGTGCTTACCGAAACGCTCCTATCCCTTACCACAGCTCTCTCGCTCGCTGTCTGGGGTGGTCTGGGGTGTGCGACGCCGGGTCCTAGCTGTTGGACTTAGCCGGTTGTGGTGCACTATGATTGTCCTTCGTGAGCCCTCTAGCTGCACCCGATAATTCATGTCGCTCACTTTGGCCTTAATGATAGCGGGTTTGTATGGCCGGATAAACTTATAGTACTGCCCTCGCGGTACTACTCCTCGGTGGAGCTGTCCGGACGGTGGAGCTGTCCAGGGGAAATCAGCTGTCCAAGCTGATTTCCCCTGGCAGCCTGACACTTCTCCCGAACATCAATTCATGTGGGGAAAATCTAGTGAACGGTGGACCTGTGACCGATATCCCAGCATCAGAAGGGGCAAATGCTCATCCCACTTGTCATGGTCACTCGTCTCCAGATACTTTGACAACATTGCCAAAATGGTTCTGTTGACCCGTTCCACTACTCCGTTGCCCATTGGGTGACAACTGCTGATCGTTGACCGTTCTATTCCCAACATATCGCATGTTTTAGTTAAAACGTCGCCCACGAAAGAACCTCCTTTGTCAGAGTGAATTCGCGAGGGTAACCCGAATCTGCTAATGAAATCATTCACCAGCATCCTAGCTACACTGAGTGCCGTGAGATCGCGCAGAGGGTACACCTCACACCACCGAGAGAAGTAGTCAACAACGACTAAAAGATGTTTATTGCCGTTTGTAGTGCACGGCAGCCCCGAAAGAATATCCATTCCCACCACCTCCATTGGTCGGGATGCGGACAACTGGCCTAACGAAGCTCTCGGTGCAGGAACTGGAGGGTTTCTCGTCTCGCACCGCTCGCATTGATCGCAGAATTCCTGCGCATCCCGCCGAACGGATGGCCACCACATCCGAGCTCTGATTTGTGCGATCAATTTATCAGCTGCAAAATGGCCACCTGACGGGCCACCGTGCGTCGAGCTGAGCACCTCCCGTACCAGTGTCTGTGGTACCACCACCTGCAACTGATCCTCATCTGAGGGACGCCTGCGATAAACCCGGTACAAAACGCCGCCCAGTAGCCGCAATTTGGCCCAGTGGGAGAGGTAGGGCACGCTGTGCTTTAACGCTTTCTTATGCGGCTTCTGTCCCCGCGAGAGGTGGTCGGTAATCTCCGCTATCGCCGCGTCGCTTTGCTGTTCATTCTTAATGAAACTCAAAGACCAGTCAAGGCAGTGAATCATGCGGCGACACTGATCCTCTTCGGTCTGTGTCGCGACGTCAGCCGTCGGCTCGGGTCGGCGCACAGTGTGGCCGAACACCAGTTTAGCGCGAATTTAATCCCAGCGCCGCTCGAATCCACTGAAAATGGTTCTCTGGTTCCAAAACTGACATTTACCCCTCGCCGGACCTATTGGTTTTCAAAATACCCCCCTTCGCCGGCCGAAGGGGGGGGGGGGGTACGACCCCCGTCGCTGTTTCGCCCCTGATGAAGCTAGAGCCTCGCGGAAAAAAACGAGCGTGTGTGCCGTTACGAGACGCAGCAACTGGTATCCGATTTTAAGGTCTCAGGTTAACCTGTGACCTCTGAGTTCAGGTCAAGTGGCCCAAGGCACGGATTCGTTTTTTATTAATAACTTCGCGAAAAAAATGCCGCAGAGCCGCGATTTTGGCATCATCGTGTTCGCCTCGCTCAGGTGCGTCGAATGGTATACTTTTTGTTCGGCTGAAGTCAACTTAAGGTGTTGACCTCGGGTCAAGGTCAGGTTAGAGCCCCCCAGATCACGAAGTTGGTCGAAGGAGGTCATGTTGCATATCATTCGATTCGGCAGGTCTTCCTGAGTCCATTGGTGGCTTTCCCGACTCGCTAGCTCAATTTGATCAGGAGTTATTGACGAAAAACTCTTATTACCCTAGTGACGTCATAAATGACGTCACGTAAGGCCAATAATGCAAAAGTGAAGCATCGGACCTTGCAAGGAGTGCATGAAATCACGATTCCGAGTGCTTGAGATAGTTAATTAGGCTGGAGCCTGTTCGGCCGCGCCGCCCCCGACCTTGGTCAGGTCACGCCGGGCGGCCGACTAGACATGTTCAAAGCTGAATTGACGGCAAATAGGCAAAAAGTGGCAGCTGAAACTTGCTCCCTTATGTTCAGAAATGTGCGGAGAGTTCAGCCATGCCCTATTCGTCATATCCATTTTTATCCATTTTAACATTTTCCAACTTCTTTGTGAAATAATTTTGTGAGAACGATACACACGCAGGGCTCCTGTTATAACTCATTAAACTCAGAAACCGTTCATTGAAAAGCTACCATGATAGCAGAAACAGCTTCATCATGAATTGTGCTATCCGGTGATATGCTATTTTCTCATATATCTTCTCGAAGCTTCCGTAAAATTTACATTGAAAACTGGACATATTTCTCAGTACCATAGCCCGATTTCAGGAACCGGAGCGTAGGTCTACTTTCGGCAGGGATATAAGTCCTCAAATGATAAAGTGGCTTAAAAATAAGGTTCTATCCGATAACTTCGGACAATTTCCTACCCATTGATAGGTATAAATAACAGTTTATCGAAAGTCGGGTTTTTGATTAAATTCGCGCTAATCTGGTATTTGGCAAGACCGTGCGGCGGCTGAGGGCGTCTGCTGCAGTATTCTCCTTCCCCGGTTTGTAAGCGATGTTAAATGAATACTGACTGAGAGTCTCTAACCAGCGCGCCAGCATCCCTGAAGGGTTTTTGAATTGCATCAGCCACTGTAGGGACGCATGATCACTCCGTAGCGAAAAACGTTTTCCAACCAAATATGGATGGAACAATCGCACAAAGACAACAACACTTAACATTTCCTTTTTAGTGACACCGTAATTTTTCTCGCTTTTTGACATTCGTCTGCTACCATAGGCTATGAGTCGCTCCTTTCCATCCTGTCGTTGCAGTAACACGGCTCCTACCGCGTCATCTGAAGCGTCACACTCTAAAATGAACTCCCCTACATCCTTGTCGAAACGGGGCAAGGCGAGAACTGGTGCGCTGCACAGCGCGTCTTTTAGCCGGTCAAACGCTGCCTGAGCATCATTACTCCAAATGAATCGTACGTCTTTGTTTGTCGGACGGAAAAGAGGGGCTGCTAGGGAAGCGAACCCTGATATATATTTCCGGAAATAGGCAGCGAGGCCCAGAAAACTTGCCAGCTGCTTAGCAGTTTTAGGCACGGGCCACTGTCGAACTTTCTCGACTTTGACGGGATCGGCCCTCAGACCGTCCTCTGACATCACATGACCTAGGAAGGTCACACTGGGCTGGAACCAGAGACACTTTTTTCAAATTCAGTGTCAGACCTGCATCGTTCAGTCGACCCAGAACGGTATCTAGATTGGTCAATAGCTCATCGAATGAACGACCATGTAGCATGACGTCATCAAAATAGCTCAGAACAACTTTGGGTGAGAGATCAGCCAAAACAATGTCCAACAATCGGGCGCACGTGGCTGGCGACCCGGACAGACCCATGGGCATACGCCGGTGGCGGTACGACCCGAATGGCGTCACAATAGTAGTCTTGTCACGATCTTTGGGATCGAGACACCTGATAGAACGCCGAATTAAAGTCGAGGACTATGAAAAGAGAGCTCCCCGCTAAAGCCTCTAACGTGTCGTCTATCTTGGGGATATGGTACGCTGG